TTGATATTCCTCATTAGATGTTGTGAGACCATCAATTTATTACCTTGACTGTATGGCAAACTTCTTCCAATGCAGGCAGGCTCTCTGTGGATATCTGTGTATGAATAAGACTTCTTTACATTAAATGCATCTTTTGTATGGTAGAAAACATGCAGAAGCACCATTAAAGTGCTATGATTTTGTTCCCTATATTGACCTAAGCTGAATTTGAGCCAGTGATTTAGAAATAATATGCTCTGTATCCCAGTACTAATCTCTTCAGCCACAAGTCCAACCCTTCAGGGATATTTTTTTTTTTTTCACAAAGAGGATGATAACATATTTAAAAGAACTCACATTTTACTCACAAAAAGAAAATCCGAGCATATGGAAAAACATGGGTATTTGGCTAACCTACCCCTCATTACCCAGGAGGGAGAGAATGTAAATTCAGGCTTGCATTAGATTGTTCAGTGTGTGTATTCATTCTTTAGAAATCTGTTTCAAAGAAAAGAAAGGCATAAACCTCATTAGAAGAGAAACAACAGGGTGGAAAAAAAAGCGAGCCATGTCAGTTCAAACGCAAGCCCAGATGCTAAAGTTAGTTACACTTTTCAGTTTAAGGCAATGCAAATCTATTCTCCATTACCGGGGAAGTGGAAAAAGGCATTAAGCCCTTGAAATGGCAGGAGTCAAGTATTGTGCTCAGTCAAATAGGAAAAGGTTTAATGTATGATTTTCTTATTTTTAGTCCATTGTACATCATATCAAGGCACTGAAGAACAACTATGCAATTACATAAATAGGAGGAGAGAAGCTAGAGCAGCACAGTTGTTTGTAAGCTAAAATTGTTTATTATTCCTCCTACCCTTCCTTCCTCTTTACACAAAAACAAGCATGCACAAAACATTAACAAAATAAATCAGAATTTATATGAAGGTTATCCACAAGAGCAGATTCTAGATACAATTTGAATCCCTGAATATTAATTTGATCTTCTGCCAAACACTATAGAAGTCTTAAGAATCTGAGGTTATATTGTAAAGGAAAGATGACAAAGGAGTCCTAATTTTAACTTGTTTTCATTATATAAACATTTGTGAGCACACATTTGTTCCCTGCTTTTTGGAGAATCATGATTAAACTTTAAAATGTATGTTTTAACCTAAAGTAAAACCAGGGATATTCCCCTACTTATGTCACAATATGTTAGCCAGAGGCAGCAGGGAATTGCTACTATTTTCCATTAATCAGGCTTGGGAAATGAAGACAGACCCTCTTCAGTTTGCCCACTACAAGAAAGCTTCACTCATTCCCCTGTCATGGATCAGACTGCTTCTTTCAGCATTGTTGCCTCAGAGGTGAATTTTCCCGATTGTAACTCTCTATTTGGCAGAAGGGCATTTTCATTTCATTTTAGTTTCCTGTGTAGGTAACCAGCAGAGGAATAGAATATGAAATGACACATTTTGTGTGAACATTGTAAATGCATGGCAACACTATGCCTGAGGAGTCCCCCAAAGAAAGTCAAGGAGGAGTATATACCTTAGGTCTTAACTTTGTCTGATCCACAAAGTAGCCTGAGATCTATGACAAGTATTGCAGTAGATGACCTAGGAGATCAGAAAGTTTGCTTTCACTGCCTCCTGACCGTTGATTTCCACCACTTAACTCCATGCCTCTTATTCTAATCAAATGCTTTTGATACCATGAGTAAGTATAATCTGCTTAAAGTAGGATAATAAACCCTGGGGTGATCTCATGGAAAGTCTGCCACAACACCACAGCAAGCAAGAAGTTTGTTGAACCACAGGTTTTGAAACCCCATGTGCCATTGTTTCTTTATAGATATCAGTTATATTTACCATCATCCTGGATCCCTGGTATATATCTAAGACGTATTTTTTTTAGGGAGAGTTGAAATGTCACACAGCTTTTGTGGATTTTCCTCACAGATTTTTATTGCTTGCATACATTTTTAGTTGTGTCTCTCTTTTACAGTGATGTACTTTATGTTGAACTTTTTAACTATAAAAAGAACTTTCTGCAATTCTTTGCAAACCTTTTTAATTCTTGAATGCAATTGTGAAAGTAGCACTTTTCACTAAAATATGTCAAATTTTTACCCAGCTGTTAGCCAGTAAGTCATAAAAAAGATTCCTGTGAGGTAGGCAGTGCATGTTATCTTTTATAGATGCAGACATAGCACTGTTGTACCACCTGAAATTCTATCAGGCTCCAAGCTCTGCAGAAAGTGACAAATGCTAGACAGGTATACTATTTATAATGGATGAGCTATGCAAGCAAGCTCTGGGAATTGGATTGGATTTGATTGCAAACAATAACATGACACAACCCCTGCTGCGGATAGCACACACATTGTGAGAGGAAGTGCAATCTGGCAGCATGAACACCAGACTACAAGCACGATCCAGAGCCCTAAATCCACCTTCATGGTATACCTACAGTGTGGCTTTCAGAACACCTTTTCTGATCTAACAGTCCTTCTTCCAATTCCTTATCTGTTTGTTTAGCAACAGCATGTTAAACAACCATACCTCTCCAAGCCACTTCAATGCAATTTATAGCTCAGTATGATGATGGTCTTCAGAGAGGCTTTTTAAAGGAATGACATGAAAACACAAGAAGTTATTTGAATAATTTTGTGCAGTTGCTGGCAATAAACTTGGAAACTTTTCCATGAAGTAATTAATCAGATTATCCTTCAGGGATATCTTCTACCCCAGCAAGAATATTTTCATTTCCAGTACAAAAGTGGATGGTAGAATATCTGTCTTCCTGTTTCACCAACATTCAAGTACTGAGCAGTACTGAAAGTAAAGCTTTTCTAGTCCTAAATGCAAAGGTTTTGTCTCCTCCTGTCCAATTGTACACACACAACATAAAATGGCCCCTCATTTCTCTTCATGAGCCATGTGGATTAGAAGTTATGCTTCTGTGGGATGTCATTTAATCAATTTCCGTGTTGCAGTCTGTGGATGCAGTAAGGGTCAGTTTGAAGTCTTGGTTCTGGTTATCAGTGGTTCATCCAGTCGCTAAGCTATCACAGTTCATGAAGAAATGGTCTGCACAATAGAAAGAGCTGGTCTAGATTTCTTTTATCCTTGTGGGATTGGTAAAGGTCTTTCTGCTTCTACAGGTAGAATTGGTGAATGGTTTTCCTTGCCATCTGAGATGATTCATGCTATGAATCATTAATTAATCTATGCAGTTGCTTTCTTGTATAACCACCTTCTTTGTTCTCACATGCCTTGGATTATATTTCCACTCACTACCCTGTTGGCTTTGGGGCATTTCGGTACAAATTCTCATTGGGAAATTGATGGGAGTGTTCCCTTTCTTCTCCAGGGTAATTTCTCTTACATGAGATACCATGCATGTTTTTAGTCTGACGGTCACTCTGCTTTGTGTTGAAACACAAAACTTCTATGAGTAATTTTCTTGATAGAAATACATTGGTATTATCAGTCCTCCTTTGTATTATTAGGATTCTTTGTTGAAGTCACATACACATGGCTGTAATTCTTGTTAAAGCCTATTTCTAGTTTGATTCCTGCATCTGATTAAAGAAAATTTAGAGTAGCTATGAGCATGGGAGTGGAGAGCCAGCAGCTCTTCCTATCTAGTCTTACACTTTTCCTTCTTACAGCCTTTTCTAGTTTACCCTTTCTGCCTCATCTTTCTCCATTGTCTTTTTTCTTTTTCTTATTCCAGTTTATGGCTCATTGATTTCATAAGTTGCACCAAGACCTCAGGTTCAGCCTCAGGGCATAGACATCTAGAAAACTGAAATAGGGATGTCAGCATGAAAAGAAAGTGGAGATGACATGGCTTTTATCTGCCAGTCTACAAATAACTTGGTCAACAGAGTTTCTGGCCATGAAATCTGAGTGCCATTTTAAAAATAACAAATTTAATTAATTCCCAATTTGCTTTTGCTTCTCTGGATAGAAATTAGAATACAGGGTGGTGCTGAAAAAGCAGTATACAGAGCAAAAAATATCATCATGACCTTGGCAAGTTGTTTCTCTTGGGATCTTATAGCTAGCTAGTTCAATCCTTAAGATGTTGATTAACATCTCTGTGGCTAGAGACTGAGGTGATTTATTCAGGGCATAATCCCAGAAAGCAGTCTTCTGTGATGCTCTTGCTGCAGTTTAAAGCTGTTCTTCCTTAGTGACATCCCTATGACACACTTCCTGTCTTCCTGAATTTAATGAATGTCCTAGTCAGTTTGAAAGTGCCTCTGGGAAATAAAGTTTGCCCTTTGTGCCAGCAGGTGGATGTGAGCAGTTCCAAACATAATGTTTGAAGCATATGCTAGCAAAACACAACAGATCTTAACTATCAGGAGTAAGTGAGCAGTGCAAGTTACAAGAAGGAATTTATAGCTTTTAGATGTGAATTATAAGAAGCAGTTCTTTTTCCAGAGAGACACACATATTATTAAGTATTTTTTGCTCCCTCAGCATCACACAAGAAATTTCACAGCTGAATGTTTTATTTCCTGATACCTACTGCATAATAACATGACAAAGTTCTTTTCAGAGTATCCTTTATTTTATGACTATGGCTTTCTCCTCCTTTACATAACAGCACTGGGTCATGTTGTGAGTTCTTGCTGTACTTACAAGTACAGTGACAATCTGTTCCTCTCTTCTATAGACAGAGAATATTCCCATTGGCTTCACTGGTAAGCTTGTCTGAGCCCCTCCTGCTCAGCTCTGAGCCCCATCCTGTGGGCAGACCTAGCTCTTTCAAAGGTTTGCTTTCATTGCCCCTAGGGAAGTCTGGTTCTTTACTACAGAATTACACAGGCAAAATCACAGGCTATTATTGATGGGAACAATTTCTTCCCACATCCTGAAGTCTAGGGCCAGCTGTCCTCTAAGCAGTGTGCCCCTCAAAGTAACAGAACCAGAATTTTATCCAGAATACTTTTAAAGCAGTAGGTATTTACTGAAACCTGTATAACTCCCTTCCCTCTCTACAATTCACAGCTACCTCATCCCTGAACTCCCAGCTTCAACAGCTTCAGCATCTTCAGCAGCTCCAGCATCAACAGCAGCAGCAGCAGCAGCAGCAAAGCCAGCAGCAGCAGCAGCAAGCTCAGCAGGCACAGACTCCACAGCCAACCCAGCAGACCCAGCAGTCACAGCCACAGACATCAGCACCACCACAGCAGAACCAAACGCAGTCCCAGAGCCAGAGCCAACAACCTCCAGCCTCACAGTCCTCCAGCTCCCCTCAGAAACCCAGCCAGTCACCAGGGCATGGCCTTCCATCTCCTCTTACTTCACCAAATCCATTGCAGGTAGGATACTACATACAAATCCCTAAAGGTCTGAAAACAGCATGTGCGTTCTTTCTCACTGCAAGGGGAAACAAAGCAAAGGCTACACCTTCTGACCACATAGCTGAGGAATTCTACCTTGTATTACTCAATCCTTATGGGCATTCAGCTTAGAACAGCTAAAGGCCTGATGAACCAGAACATACCTAATGATGGTTCTAGGATGCTGCTTCCTGAAGAGTAAATGTCTTTTGCTTTTAAATTCTCATGTCGTAAAACACACAGAAAAGTTTAATTTTTTTCCACAGATTCATCATGTGACATTCATGAAAGACACTTGCCCAGCAGTCACCTTTATGATAACTTAAGAGGGTAACAATATTAGCAGTTCATTAGGAGATGATCCTGAGTGTCAGCTTCTGCTAACGGACATGTGCAAGGGGGTGGATGTGTTACCTCTCCTCTTGAAATTACAGTCCTAATTTTTATCCTGCTAATAATCAAATACTTCTGTTAAGGTTCTTAGTATAGGTTCCAAAGCTAAGGATGCCAGTTAATGCCATTCATTGATACTCACTCATTGGAGTGAGTTATTTTTTAACAGTTTAACATGGTTATTTTTTAATGGATCAGCAGCTACCACATCCATGCTGCTGCTCAGCTCTGCCTGTCTTAGAAGTTCTGGGCAGAAACAGGAGATCTCTGGTCCAGTGGTTCTATTTTTTTAGAGCTGGGTGTTCTTGCACTACATGTGCTGTGCTACATTCACACTGTGCAAGAACAGCTTTGAATGCACCCATAAGTAGTGTGATTCTGAACACCAGGGTAGTCTGTGGAGTGGAGTCTTATTCACTAGGCAGTGAAACTGCACTTAGAAACCAGAAAAGTCTCTATCAACTTTAGTCTTTAAATTTTGAGACACCACTTAAAATATTCTATCCACACTGATGGATTTGGATCCATTTCCTGCAGAAATAAAACTGCATTAGCTTAATAATTAAACAATCCTTTTTTAGACAATTAAGGGAATTGGTTTACAAGAAGCTTTTCTTGCATGTGGCCAGTTAAACCTGCATTAATCTGAGCTTCAACTAAATTGCATCAAATCTGATTTTTTAAAATGGTTTAGATAATAGACTTAAAAGTCTGCAAGAGATGTGTCTTTGCTTGCTGAACTTTTTCTTAGAGTAGAGAATAATGCTTCTAAAGCTTTTTCTCTGTATTGTCTTAAGGACTACATATGCATCACTTAATGCCCTATCTATCATGTTAGTGAGTGCTTTGGGGCTTTTTTGTATGCAGATTATTGACATTCAGAGACACAGATATTTTTAGGGGAGCTTCTGTTGCATTTTATTTTCTTGGTACGTCTGTAATATATGCACACTAACTATACACATGATATTTTGCTAAACTGCCAGCTAAATATTGTGTTTCAAATGTCATTAAGTTCTACAAACAAAGCAAATGCACACATAAATTAGAGTTGGAGTCAGGAAGAAGTTGGATTATCTCAGACAACATACCTCGAGAGGGTTGTACTAACTGAATCTGAGGTCTTAACTCTTGTATAGCCTTTGGTCCCAAAGTAAATCTCAGGTGAATGCTAGTATTTTCAGTCCCATCTGTGATTATCCAGGTGCTTTCAACTGTTAGTTTCCCTGGGTCACCTCTCATTTTCAGAAGTACAATAAAAGTAAGTAAAAGCTTTCCTGTTAGGTGCCGATGACAATACTTCCACATAGATACCTTGGCATATCTCTCTCTTTAGCATCCTCATGCTTTCAACTACCTATCTGAGGGCAGTCTGGAAGTGGCAGACAACAGAAGTGAAAGAAGGGAACCAAGTACTCTGAGGTGTTTTTAGTTCAAATACTATCCCTTGAACATTTTAGGAATTGGGATTAAACTTAATGAAATACACCAGTGTGAGAGATCTGGCACTTCCCCTGGGCTGAGCTCAGCCAGTGCTGCCAAGCCAGTTGCATGTCTGGTTCACTTTCAGAACAGTAATGAAGGAATTAGAAGTCATTAGGTGTTAGTTCTGGCTCAGCATTAAAAACTTGTTAATAAATTGTTGGATAAATAGTTTTAATGGTCTTTCCTCTCTGATCCTCACCATTTAAATAGCCATGAAATCCCAAAGTTTGTTCACAGATACAAATACGTTGTGTACTGACAACCACAAGAGAAGCCAGAATTGAGCACACTACTTCAGCCCTCGCCTTAAGCAATGTGTGTAGGGTCATTACTTTGGTCTTCTAGCCATCTCTACAGCATTTCTACAGCAAGTTCAATACTGCTTAAGCTTCCCTAGAAGTAATTAAAACTTGAAGCATGCTCTGTCATATTACCAGGAATTCTGAGACACTTTTATATGCAAACAAGTGACACCTAGAAATATTTCCAGAGGAACTAATGTTTTACTTTGTGTATGGTTGTTTGGATACTTTTCTAAATCAGAGCAGTGGTAACATCTCCATGAAATTTGTCTTTCCATTCTTTAGAAGAATTTATCCTGCAGATAAAGGCTGCCTAACCCTTGTACATCCATCTTGAGGATTGGATCTGAAATTGTTTTCTTTCACACAGGCAGATTACAAAAACAAACAAAAGGAGGGAGCACATGTTTGGCAGCAGCTCCTCATAATAGCTGCTTAGAATGTGGATTTTTTTAATGTTCAATGCTTCGACATAAAAATCAACCTGAAACAAAAGTCAGATGTAGTATGTCCTCTAGGGTAATGTTCTTTATGAACTAGAGTGAAATGGATTTTGTTTGAAGAATATTAAGGGAATAAAGAACAACTAAGTTAAAGTTTGACAGCTAAAATTTCATTTCTGAATTCTTGACTTTTTTCACGTGGGCTTTATCCTCTTATATTATTCAGGATCTGTCTGAAAGATATTAGTTTAAAAAAATGCAACCTCAAAAAATTGTCATGGAAAGTCAGTAATTCAGGAGGATGATTGTGTTTGTTTCAAAAAACTGAAGGATAACAGCAATTATATCTCAAAATATACAGATGCTGTCATGTCCTTCAGAAGATAAATTAAATGAAAGTGACTTGCTTAGGTATACCTGGGTGAGGTATTTTGCTAGGTGATCAGAAATTAATAATGCCAGTACAATGTATGCCTGCTAAAAGTCTCAAAATTGTTCTTGTCAGATTATTCTGTAATAATTTTATCACTATTCTTTAAAGGATTCAATGGGCTGGACTGTAAAGCTACTGTAAAACAAAACTACTTTTTATGGTGTCTTTTAATGATTGTGTAGAAAGATGTAAAACCTCCCTTTAGGTTCCAGGATATTAATTTTTTGCTAACATTAATGAAGATGCTCCAGATTTACGCTGATAAAAGCCAAACACAGAAGGACCAGATAATTGTTGATTTGCAAGAGGCAATAACCAGAGAAGAATTTTTAAAAGCTGAACTCCCTTTCAGGAAGTGGTGGGTTAGGCAGATGACAGAAGACTTTCATCCCACTCTTCTAAAATGGTGAAATTCCTCATAAAGATAATCACAGTCTGATGTTTATTTTCATTGTGTCAATTGATTGAGACAAAGGAATCCAGAGGCAAAAGAGGCAAAACCTTTCTCACATTGTAAGGTGAGGACTTCAAAACCTTTACTTCTGGGAAAATATACCTCTCCAAATATGCTTATCCTGTGAATATTTAGTGTTATTACATGCAAAATATATGGGTCCTTGAATGGTCAGCATATTGCAACTTCAAAGGATAGATATCTCTGTAAGATAGAACATCTTACAGAGTTTCCATGCAATTAAAATTGTGGACTTATAAGAACTTGATCATATGCAGTATAAAAACAGATGAGCTTAGTATTAAGTAGCTAATTATTCTGCTCAACTACCAGAATAAGGCACTTTCTACCAGCAAAATATATTTAGGTGGCTCCAAAAAAATGGTTAGCTTCTGGTGCTGACTCTCACTGTATATTTTTGAGATATGGATAAGATGAATGTACACATAGCCAGATCTGCAAAGGGAGTGCTACACTATAGGAATAGACGAATTCTCAATGACTTCTACTGTTCTGTTTGTATGTGAATAGGAACAGACAAACAGGAAATCCCCCAGAGATTTTCTTACTGTAAAATTATTCTGACTGTTTTCAGAACTCTTTCCTGAAGAGTCGCTTTTGTCACAGAAGTCTACCTACAATAACTGCAGCTGATGGAAGATGATGAGTGAAAAGATATAACAATAAAAATAAGGAAGAAGGGAAGTGAGGAGATGACAACAGCACAAAAATCTTCCAAGTAATAGCAAACTTTAGGATACCAAAATCAGAACCTCCTTCAGATTAAATTTTCATACTAATCTTAAATAATGTATTTGGAAACTCAACATTTTTATAACAAAGGAACAAAGAAAAGCAGAAAGGCTGAAATACTCAGCTGCAAATGAGGGAGAATATATACACAGATGTCTGAGGCTCCAATAGTCACACAAAATGAACTCCCCCTTCCCTTTCCACCCACCCTCATTCACTGGTTAGCTTCTCATTAAGGCAAAATCAGCTTTGAAGTAATCTCAATATTTTCTGAGATTTTGGCATATTTACATATCTTTAAGATACAGAAGTCACAAACAAGTCTGTCAGCTTAATAAAGGCCAGTTTTTGAAGGATTATGCTCTTGGCCTTACGATTGTGTTTGCATCCAAGACTTGTTATAGTTTTCTCATGTTTATTGACTCCTGAGATTAAGAAAATTTGATTGAGATTATGACACCAGTAATCCCACTGAGTCTGGTGGGTTGCTTTGTTTTGCTAAAATTATCTAACTTCCTCTGCATAAGATACTGTGCACTCTATGACTGATTGAATCTGTTCCCAGGTTGCTTAGTAATCAATTTGACAAAAAAATATTTTATAAATGGTAAGTAAATGCAGTACTTCAGACCCATTGTCCAAAATCTCCTAATTTTTGGTATCAATAGGGAGTGAGATAACCCACATCACAAGGTGATATCTGATATAGACATGAA